CGGAGAGAAAAACATCTGATCCACGGCGCAGGCCTGTTTCTGGTGAGACGAGGAGCTCGAACCAAAACAAGGAGAGAACCGCAGGCTTTGGCATCGCGCCTGAACGGACACACCCCCTCCAGGCAGTGGCATCGAACCAGTGACACTGTGGTAAACAAACGGCGGCGGCGGTCTAATCATTATCGTCAGTGAGCCTGGTGGACTGAGCCCGTCATTACGGCTCGTAATTACATCCCAGCAGCACCCGGGCCTAAACACAGCTCTGCGCTTTGTCCACGAAAACACACGACTCGTGTCTCCACTGACAGATGAGTGCACAGGTGACATCTTGATCACACCAGCTACACACACACTCACTCCAACACTCACACACTCACAGTCACTCTCACTCCTCCCGCCTCCCTCGTGCTCTCCCCGTCCCTCTCCTGGTCTCACCTTGTTTGACACACTTGAAGCGGACCGGGTCTTTGCAGTGCTTGATCACCGCCAACACGTCCCGGGTGGTGAGCCCGGCCACTGGCATGTCGTTGACCTCCAGCAGCAGCTCGTCCTGGGCCAGCTTGCCGCTCTGGATCAGCCCCTTCCCCTGCTTCACCTCGCCGAAGTAGGGGAACTGGCCGTTTTCCGCGCCCCCCTTCAGCTCGAACCCCAGCTCCCCGTCCTTCCCCCGCGTCACCACCGCTTCGTGGACTTTGTTGGTCCAGTGGTTCTTCTTCTTGAGGCTCTTAGACATGGTTAGGGCGAGTTGATCTCCACGGGCTAGCCCATACAAACGCCTCCTACCATTTCATCTCATCCCAGCCTTTGTTGGCGACCGACCGGCTGCAGCTTCACGGCGCCCGTGGCTCCATCACCATCAGCGGCGCACGCCAGGCGCAGTGTCCGCTCGGCGAGCCGCGCAGTCGGACGGAGGGCTGCGGTACGGCGCGGCGGCGGCGGTGGGTTGCTGAAATGATTCTTACTCTGTCAGACACACAGACAGAGGAGACTGATACTGGCGGATGACCCGGATGTGAAGCCTGAAGGAGGGGAGAGATGAATGGTTCTGGTTCGGCGTTAAAGGATGGAGAGGAGGGGAAATAACAGGAGGCGCTTCACTCCCACTACACTGCCAGGGGCGCTTCCTCAGGCTGACTGTGATCACACACACACACACAAGCGCAATGGCATGTAGACCAGGCTGGGAGGAACCTCAGTTTACACTGTTAGACTGTGATATGAACCAAATCTGTGCATGAGCTACAGCTGCAGACATGTTGGAGAAATGAAGTAGCTTAACCACATGGCTTAGTTTGTGGTTATTACTGTAAAAATGTAGAATGAAGTTTGTTGAACACTCCATGCACCACTTAAACACATGAACTACAATGACATAAAGGCCTCAAGGTAACACCAGTGTCCAGGAGACGTGTTGTAGAAGGGCCTCCGATTTAAAACCAACTAAAATTATCATTATTATTTCAGTTTTTATTGTGATTACAAGCTGCACTCCACTAGATGTGAGCTTTAAAATATCTAATCAGCTTTATTTGTCACTTTAATAATATACTTACAGCATACATGAGAGCAAAACGCCATACTCCACATTTAAAAAGAACAATAAGAAACATTTAGACACAATATATATGCACAAATACCATATCATCGAAGGAGAACTTTATAAATATCTGTTTGTTAAAGTTAAGGTTTGAGAAATGTCTTGGTTTTGTAAAATAAACTATGGTTTATTAAGTCTTGGATTGGGGAGAGTTGCTCTCAATCCAATATCTCAATATCTCAATTTAATATTTTGGCAAAAAACAAATGGACAGCTCAGACAGATGTTTTCACCGTGTTGAAAGAAACGACATTTATCATCTGTTCTCTTTGGTGCCCAGATTTCCAAATGTTTAGGATCCATACAACATGAGTACACATGTCACAGGTTCAACTCCTCAATGACCTGACAATTCAGTGCATGTGTTTCCACCACATTTCTGTCCATCTTCACCATCTCCATCAAACATAAAGTGCCCAAAAATACTAACTGTATCACCTCTTGAAGTTGGTGACCGTTACATAATTGCCCTGATGACATAAATCCAAATCCAACAGAGAATGACAAATCCTTTTGTCGTCATGACTTTTTCATGAGTGCATGGTTTTCCAAAGTGGGTGAAGTAAAGTTTCAATCAATATTTAACAGAAGAGTCAAGACCCGCTCCTCTCCATCTACTGTGGATGACAGTCCCTCTTACTGCCACTCTGTGTGTGCGTGTGTGTATTTTCAGAACATGCAATGTGCTTTTGTAATGTGAGTACCCTCCCTACAAAACAACATTACTGCACACACCCCCTTCTGCATTTGCAACCAGTAAATAATCCATGAAAAGCACTAGATTCACTTTGACTGTCACTTTACTTTACTCCAGTGTCCTGGCATGTAGGTCAAACATACATTCTGGTTACAGCAAGTGCTTTGACAAATATTCTAAGCCCATGATGATGCAAACTAGATGATTATCAAAGACTAAGCACCACAGAGGAGAAACAGCACCGACATAATCCAGAAAACTGCCTGGATTAGGAGATAATATACTCAGAGGGGAAATTAATCTCTGCTTTGCCTTATTTTTGCCTCTGCTGGTGGATGTGAGAACTGCAAAAGGCCTGTGGTCTGCACCAAAATACACTGTATAGTTCAGAGGTTTGGAAGTACATGTTATAGTAAATTCAGAGTCCAGCAGAATCTGATTCAAAGTCCCAACTACTGTCTGATTTAACATAGGATTATAATCTGGCACCCTGTTGTATTTTTTTTTCTGCACAGGACAAATCCTGCACTGATTTTTCTTCCTGAGCTCATCTATCTATATCTGGATCAGAGTATTTCACTATTTTTGAATCAGCTTTGTGAATAGAAGTGTGATAGAAGAACAAAAAGGAAAAGACGTCAGCTGTCGAAGCTTTGAGCTGGAGCGGCTAAATTTGGAGTCATTTCAAGCGACTTTGTCGTTTAAAGATTTTCTCCTGACGAGGTACTGAAGTGGAGCAGCAGCTCTCAGTAGTGTCTGGGTGGCCAGTCACACATGGATAGTTTTCGTGGGAGGTGAGTTTACATGAGCTCATAACAGCATTGTGATGACGTCCACTTCTAGATCTGGTAAATACTACTGCAGATATTTTCTGAACAAACATTTGGCTTTGAGGTGATTCTGTGGGAGGCCTGAGGGAAGAGGAAAAAGTTTGTTTCGCAAAAAAATCCACATGAGTGTGGACGAGCTATAAGTGTAGTGCTGTATGATGACTTGGAAGGAAAAGAGATTAAAAAACAAGAGCTTTATCTTTGTTATCACCCTGCATGCTAGCATAGATGGAAGCAGGGTATTGTTATCGCCCGTCTGTATAAAAAACAACTCAACAATGTGTGGACAGATTTTTTGCTTTCTTCTTCAAACTTGGAAGCAATATTACTTGGAATGGTATCTCCCAAAAATAAACACTGGAGCCGATTGGTCAAAGGTCAAGATCAGGCTCAACAAAAAACTTCCCAAAATACACATTTTCCAAGGGGACAGTGGGACTCGAGAGACAATCTGAAGCTTACATTGTTTAGAAAATGATTCCCCATCATATGATATCATGTGATAAGTGATGTCATGAGGAAGTTGCGCACAAGTCAGAAAATCATGCATTGTTACAAAAATTTATTTTCCGAGGTGTTTCTGAATCCTATAGAACTGTAAACACAACTTATAGCTTATATAGATCAAAACATCATGTATGATCAATTTATCATGACATCATTTTGTCAGAAAGTCATAAAATAAGGTCATTGCGTAGTAAGACATTCACTTTTAATACCTATTCATCACATATGGCATAGATGACACAATGACATCGTTATGAAATGGCATCTTAACTCTATAGAATGTTAGCATTGCCTGAACGGGGAACATGCAGCTCGTGTACAGGGTGTAAATTGCCCCTCCAATTCTATTTTTATTCTTTCACTTTCTGTCAGATTATCATTGATCTACATTAGCTGTGATCATAAACATCAGAAACATCCATACAGGCTTCCTCGCAGTGCTTGGTGGGGGATATTACTTCACATCATCATTATAGACGTAAAATAATGAGCATCCTAAAGCACTCTGCCAACAACAGAAGGCAAAAATACAATAACATCAGGCAGCCTGCACACTCAGAGGGGGATTTTCAATAGAACTCATATGGATTTAGCTCAGTGCTTCTCTTACTGACTGTTTGCTCTCTGCATTTGCTGTTGGGGAGCAAATGCATACTAAGTTGTTTTTATTGCTCGGCAAAGACAAGGAGGGGAGAGGGGTCACCTTCACGCAGACATTCATACACTCAACAGGGTGAACAGACCCCTCCCGTCTTTATCATCTTTAGTTAATCCACGGATGCACCCGGGCGTAACAACAGAGACGAACAAATCAAATATCATCCAATGCCTTTTGACATCCACTATATTTGGAAGACATTTTAATCTTCGAAAGTATATAGATAACACACTGGTGTCAGAAGTGTGCTGGATTGTTTCAAATGTGCTCCCACACACAGAATATGTTAACTTGACTAAATGGTTCAAGGGAATTGGCAAATAAAATCACTTTGGCTCGTTCTCCGAGCTCAGGATAAGATTTAATTATGCAGTGAAACTTGTGATGTATTACACCTGTAACCTCTAAACCAAACCACACAGGGATCATCACTAGAGCCGGAGACAAAGCAGCTGATATGACTTCATCACAGACATATTGGTATTGATATGGGCTGTATGTCAGTCCACAAAATAACAAGAGACTGCAGTGATGATATGTTGGAGAGTGATGCTGTCACATTTTTCAACCATAGTATTTCCTGCTCCATAGATTTCTTTGAAGAGAAATTTAAAGCTGCACCAATTGATTTTTGTTATTAAACTGACGATAACTGATATTTTATAATATAATAGCAATTTATCAAATGAAAACTAGAGAGGCACGAGGCCTAACCATCCAAAACGATTGTATAGTTCTTAGCACAGAAATATAAAAGAGAGCAGGATTGTTCTGATTATCCAAACTATTTATTTGTCATAAAACATAATCAAAGAAAGTGAAAAAAAACTAACACCTCTTAAGGTCACAAACTTGTACTGAGTTTAATTTAGCTGTTTACACCTGACAGTTAACTTTTCATACTCACGTCTTAATTTTCAGTGGTATTTATCTTATCTTACTACTCGCAAAAGAGGGAATAGCATATTTCTCAGTGTTGAGCTATATTCCATGATCAAAAATAAACTTATAGACCAACCATATTAGCAAACACATCTTTTTTTCGATTTTTAAAACTAAAAAAATATCAGTGCTAGCTTTGAAAATCCAGTATCAGTGGGAAATAATCCATGTCTGCTATATTATCAGATAAAATAGCCTCACATTGCTTATAAATTCTCTCTCTTCCAGGCTTCTCAGATGTGAAGACTTTTAAGTGATGTACAACTTGACTGCAGATCAGAAACATGAGCTGGTTATTATACATACTGTCGTTTCTTCAGATGAGATAGGAGGTTTGGAACAGATCCTTTTTGCTTCTTCTGTGGTCACCTTCATTAGCATCATCCTCTTCTTCTCTTTCCTCTACCACATACTTTTGTTTCCATGTCGTTTCATCTCCCTGGGGGGGGGGCTTTGGAGATAAGTTCAATGAGTCTGCAGTTAGATTTTAAAATCACACAATGACTCCCAAAAATAGTGTCTTCTAAGCTAATGCCTAATCATTGTTCTTGAGCAGTGAGGGCTTAGCTTAGTCTGTGAGGCAGGAGTCAGCCCCATCATTTCAGTGTTGAGATGATATGTCTTAAAATAATTGGAGAAAGAGGTTTGTTCTGATAACTATCTCTAAACTCACTATTTTGATGGTTGGTTTGTTATGAATAATGGAAGGGACCCCCGGCCACAGGTCTGTATTAAATCACCACAGCCTGAGGTAAAA